GACCATGCTGCGTCCGAGGCAAATGCGGTTGACACTTTTCACTTGTATTAATAGATGGTCACACAAGCAAACATTTGACTTTGCCGTGGAATTCCTCGACTTGACCCTCAAGCCACAAGAGGACATTAAATGCAAAAGTGAAAACTCTGCCCAGTGTGTGGCAAGTGCGGCAAGTGGGGCAAGAGTTTCTTCTATTTAAGTATGCCACAAAAATGAACTCTTTGCTCATTTAAACGCTTTGACATTAGGAATGATGGATTTGGTCACGTTTAGAATGTTCCATTTAAAACCAAAACACTTCTGGAAACGTTTGCATGCATAAGGGTTAAGAAAGAGGGGTTGATATGGGGTTAAGGAAGCACTTTAAGTGATAAATGCTATTTTTATCTATATATTCATATATTTTATTGACTATTTTTATTTTCTAAATCCAAACCTTCAAATCAGACACAAAGATACAAACATTACTTAACTGCCAAATTTTACAGAAAAAATGTAATTATTGCCCAAAAAGCAGGCAGATAATAAATAAAAATAATAATTTGTTTTAAAGGTATTACATTTTCATTAATTTTTTTTTTTTATAATTAGAGTTTTTAGAAAATTTATAATATTTTGATATATAAAAGAATGTTTTCATTCCTTGCAGACATTTTCTGAGTTTTATAAGCGAATACATTGATAAAGCTATAAAAATCAGATGCATGTTTGCAATATTACTTAATATTTTAATTATTATATTATTACAACTAATAATACTTAAAACTGTTTGTAAATGAAACTCTTTGGAGTAAATAAGAGTAATCTTAGTTGCAATACCTTCTGTTTGTAACTAATTATAAATATGACTTTCAATATTATTATTGTTAGTTATATAATGATTATTTATATCAATATTATTATATTATTGTTATCGTTATTATTATTGTTATTATAATTACTTTATTATTATTGTTAGAATTAATATTATTTTAAATATATATTATTATTAATGCTTGGCTTATTTTAAAGTTCAAGTTACTAAGTAGTAGAAGCATCTAAATTTCTGACTTTTCTTAATTGTTTCACTGAGTTGAGCCTTTTGCGTCGGCGTCGGCATTTTCTTTACCAGGGACGATTACTTATTAGACTACCTTAACAGACAGATAAAGCTCACAAAAAAAAAAGAGAATATTTATATATATCTAAGTTACATGGGATATTTATAAAGATGTTGGCATCAATTGTGGTAGTCAAATGTGGTTGTGCAGGGATTCATGTGGGAGATGCTCAATTTTCTTGATTTGGCGACGGGTTCTCCCCACGACAAATTCATGGATATCGAAGAGGTGGGATGTATGGCATGGGTCTCAGCGGCGTGTTGCCTGCTCGTCTGAATTGGGTTCGACTTGGACCAGGCCTGAGCCGCTGCCTCCAGATCCTGTTTGATGCTCTGCAATACTAGATCCACATTGTAGGAATAGTGTCCGCTGGAAGCTGAGGTCGTGGGCAAAACATTAGGAGCGGGCGCCGTGGTCGATTGCGCCAGATGTTCCAGAATTTCATTAAGATCCGACGTGCCACTTGGCATCGCTTGGGGCTTCGGCTTGGGCTTCATCTGTGCATAGTAGTTTTGTACGGGATGTGGCAAAGTAGCTGGGATTGCGGTTGTAGTCGGAAGAGCTGTCCGTTTCTCAGCACTGGGATCCTGGGAGTAGGACATGAGCCGCTGCACAATGCCGCGATGGGCACTCTGCTCCGTTTGAGGCTGCGTCAGCTTGGCATTCGGCTTGGAGTCGCGCTGGCGATGACCCTGAATGTCCTTCTTGAACTTCATGCGTCGGTTCTGGAACCAGATCTTCACCTGACGCTCGCACAGCGACAGACGTTGCGCAATCTCAATGCGCCGTGTCCTGTACAGATACATGTTGCTCTTGAACTCGTTCTCCAGCTCCACCAGCTGCACGCTGGTGAATGCGGTGCGGGAACGCTTCAGCTTGACGCGCTGCCCCTGTGCCGGCTGCAAAGGCATGTTCTCATCGGAGGACAGCTGCTGCCCTGGCTGCTCGCCCACGGACTGTGGCAGTGTTGCTGGTGGCTGGTAAGTGGGCATCACCACTGATGGGTTTGGCTGTGCTTGATGCATCACTTGTGGCGTGCTTTGATGATGGCCGTACAGAAGCTAATGAGAACAACAAGAATTACAGGCGTGGTCAGGAGAGTCGATCTGCTGTTAACTTACATTGCTGTACTTGGCCACCGGCGCTGGGTAGGCGTTCATCTTTGGCTGATGCACTGGATAGTAATGCATGACGGATGACATCGCGTGTGCTCGTGCTCGTGCTCGTGCTCGTGTTACTGTTGGACTGTCCAAATCAATAGTGATGTCTTGGCAGGTCGCAATCGCTCAATATATAGCCTGCTAGGTAGTCGGAGGGCTTGCCAAAAATTTGCCTAAAACTCGCGCACGGGCAATAAATCCTTTTGTATATCGTTGACGCTGCCGACGACGTCGTCTGCCTCATCTGTGGCAATCACAGTCTCTGTCTCTGTCTCTGTCTTTGGCTGTATAGAATGTGCGTCTGGCACCGGCCAGACTAGCCAAGTCCAGGGCCAGGGGCAATCTAGAGGCTTGTTTGATCGAAATCCGGCTAGCCTAGGATTTGACGTTACGTGAGTTCGTCCGGGTTCAGATCTGGACCAGAATCTCGCTGCCCAGGTAGTGCTAGCTAGCGTTAGACTGGCGACTGTCCATAACTGATGATGATCTGTGTTGTGTGTTGTCCAACTTGTAGCACCTGTTTGGACGAGACGTCGACGAAAGTGAATCCCAAGGACATGCGGCGACATTCGACATTCAGTGCGTCGCGGCTTTTGGTCGCTCGCTCCGTGCACAATTATCCCGCATAATGCAATGAAAGCAACGCTGCGAAAAAGGATATTTCGAGGGTTTTATGCTTGATTTAACAGTTTATGACTTTATTTGTGTCTCACTCACAATACAGACTGCCTTTGCCGATGTCCTTATCCCTGTCCCTGTCCCTGTCTCTGTCTCGTCTCAGTCCCTGCCCCTGTCTCCGACACCGCGGCACTCACATGCGAATTCGGCGAGTTCGCAAAACTTTATTGCTGGCGCTATGGGATTTGCTGCTTCTGAGAATTTACTAAAAATCCGTCAGAACAAAGGCAAAGTCATAACACATAATTTCTGTACAGTTTGCATAGACGCGACACGTGGTATTATACGTATGTATATATCCACTTGCAATTAAATTCCTTAGAATACCCAAAATACAAGAAGCTGTCTGTTATTGTAAAATTAAAAATAATTGTCTGAAGAAAGAAACCAGCCAAATTTCGCAAATCTATATATTTAGAATAAAATAAAATTCTTTTTAAATTACATTGCCTAAAAAATTCCATAACAGAAGTCGGTAAGAATTATAAAAAGTAATTTAAAATTTGTATAGGGCAATCCATCAATTTTACTAAATATATTAATATATACGATTTTAAGATATAAAACACGTTTTGAAACTGCATTAGAGTCTAATAACAATGGACTTAAGGGAACAAAACGAATGTAAGTGAGCTTTTTATTACGAAGTTTTATAAATGAATGCTAATGTCATTTAATATCATTCTTTATCTTTTAATAATTAAAAAACTTATAAATAAATTGCATACCCATTATTTCTGTGCCTGTTGAAATGTTAAACTATAATTATTGGCAATTAAATCTTTTGTCAATAATAAATAAACTTTCTTATTTCACAATAATCACATGCGCAATTCTATCTGGCATTTGGCGCGCCCCCGTTTAGTTCCTCCAATTATACAAATATGTGCGAACGAGTCAATAAAATTGCATATGGGAGAAACCCACATTTCATTCTTTCATGCAAATGTTGGATTTTCCAAGTTTTATATCAAAGAAATGTGCTGCAACAAGTTGCCTGCTTGGTCCGGCGGCGGCGCCTCGGTGCCAGCAGAGATGAGCACACCCGGCCGCCAGTTGTGGCATGTCAGCCTACCTAAATGGTTCAGATCAGGTAGATGCACATCTAGGCATAGGCATAGACATAGGCACCTGGTCGTTTAGGACTTAAATTAAGCGCGAATTTTATTATGCGCATTTCGTAGAATATTCGCGGATCGGATTTTATTGCACACATGTGCCTGCGCATCATCATAAAAGGTTTCTTTTTTAAATTCATAAGATTTTCGGGAAAACCAGCTACAGTTTTCGTTCATTGCACGTTTTGTAACGTGTCAAATTTGCCTACACATGTGCATAGCTTTAAGTTCTACACACTTACATTAAGGTGTCTATCTGTCCATATTTTAGCTGCACATGCAGATTTCTTTAACATATTTAGTAATTCTTTTTAAGCTATCTAAATTAATAGTATATCAATTTTGGGATGATATTTTTTTAAATTAATCATTTTCAATTTAATCTTTCAAATTATACAAATGTATAATTTTGTAGATACACTTAATTATTTTCCTTTAGTTCTTTTGCCAAAGAATTTTGTGTACATTTCCGACTGAACTACTTTCGGGCTTTCCCAAATAATAATAAATATTACATATGTATCTATTTATTATAAGAAAGTTTTATATTCTTTCTGGGGAATTTCTTCCTTATTAAAATGATATACATACAATCGTTGACTGACTCTTTTGTAGCATTTGCAATTATAGAAGTGATCATTTTTGGAATATCACAACTTAATACAATATTTATAAAGATTAATATCCATTTAGTATTAATGCTAAAAGAATTCGAAAGCGTTTACTTTGTCTATCGCAAAACGTTAAAAGCAAAACACTTCCAAAAATTGGTTGGCTTGTAAGATTTATTAATATTTAAATTTTCGGAAATATTGTATTGAACATTTAATATATATTCCCAAATGCACAATATTTAAAGATAACTTAGCTTTAAAACATTAGTTGAAAGGTGCACGATTCGTAAGGTAACTGGTAAATTTTCAACGCATTTTCAATTATAAGAAAAAACCGAAAATCCTCCAGTAATATATAGTATTCGTTTCGATAACTTAGGCGTGTGGTATTCATGTATTGTGGTACAATATTTGAACAATTCTCACGTGAAGAATGTTCAATTGTAACATGAAAACCGGGGCATAGCAATAATTAAAAATATTCTGACGAGTATTATTGTTTAAATGTTCGATCTTCGGCTGATAATGGCAGGCCAAAAAGAGAGGCGTGCGATTATCAGGAAGAGAAACATTTTCCATTTAGATCAGTGCAGTTTTTTGTAAGCTATGCCAAGTGCCAAAATTATAGAAATGAATCTTACATGAGATTTTCATACGAAAACTTCTTCGGTAAAACCTTCAGCTAAGCCCATTATTGTCTCAAGTATGTCTGGATGGGCACTCATGGGCTTTGGCAAATGCCCAGCCAGACAGAGTTGAGACCAATGAAGGTTTTACAAAGGAAGTTTCTTATGGAAATACATTGAAAATGCTTGGAAAATTACAGCTATGACTTAATTAAGCTTTACAAAATTCATTTAAAATATTGATAATTTGCTTAAAATACTACGCATAGATATCTACAATCACTAAATCTTTGTACAATCAGGAACTAACGTGTCACTTAAAGCTAAAGAAACACCACAAACATTAAAATTTGTGTACTTAAAATAATTATTATATTATATGGGGCGCCTGGTGTCCCGATCTAATTAAAACAGTAGGCGAACTGCGTGTTGCCACCGGCATTACGATGCGGATTATACGCTTGCATTATCGTATCCATCGTACATTGATATTGATTTGTCTCGTGCATGGCCTCCAGTGAACCGCCCGGAGGTGGTGGCGTCTGCGTGGACGGTACCGAGAGTTTGCCGAACTTGCCAAAGGCGCTGCTGCTGCTATTGCTGCCACAGCCGATTAGGTTGCCGCGTGCCACAGTGAGTAGTCCGGTGCCCAATACATCGCTGCCATTGTCACAGGATTTGTCTGTAACCACGTTGTTGTTGCTCTTCAGTGGCTCCAAGTTCTGTTTAGATGGGAACAATATGTTAGAATTGAAAATATTATAACCATCGAGATTCCAAATACCTTTGCAAGGTAATTTACTCACCTGTAGCGTCGTCGTCTTCTTATTCGATCCATTGTCCATGTCGTCGGTGACATCGGCGGCGCCGACAGCTGTGGCACATGGGCCGCCAACGCCGACGCCGACGCCGCCGCCAGCAGGACCACCGCCACACAGACTGGGACTTTCGTCATTCTTTGGTGTTAATGGCTCGTAGACCTCGGAGCCAGGCGAGAGCGCAGACGTTACGGCCTCGACGCCCGACATGCTGCTGGCAGCGACGCCGGACAGTGCCAGCGCCGTCGTTCGCATATAATACGATCCATTGAAATTGTACTCGTCCCCGTTCTCGCATTTGATTGTCGGCACCCGGCAGGCGTTTCCACTCTTCTGCTGAAAATCAAAATGATGATATTGCTGCTGCTGCTGTTGTTGCTGCTGCTGCTGCTGTTGCTGTTGCTGCTGTTGGTGCTGCTGCTGCTGCTGTTGCTGCTGCTGGTGTTGTTGTTGTGCCATAACATGGTGATGGTGCAGTTGCTGCGACTGCTGATGATGCGACGGCGGTGGCGCCCCCTGCTGGTGGAGCTGCTGCTGGGCATGTGGATTGCCATGCTGAAAGAACTGGGCAGCAGCATTCGACGCCGAAGAGCGACCATACTGGCCATGCACTTGCGGCACATGCCGCTGCTGGCCCTGTTGGTGATGGTTGTTGTAATTGTAATACGCGCTAAACGACTCGCTGTAGTGCTCCACTAGATGCGCTGTGGGCGTCGATGGCGTGGGCGAGGGCGTCAGAGCGTTGGGCGTGGCTGCGCCACCGCTTAAGCTCAGCGCTTGAAGACTCGGTGGATCCGCCTCCAGTGTCTTCATTGGTGCATTGGGCATGGACGGCGAAAGCGGCATGCCATCATACGACTGATCCTTGTGCTGGTCTGATTGGATTTTATGACGGCGCCGGCGATTCTTGAACCAGATCTTCACCTGCGCCGTGCCCAGCGCCAACTTAGCCGACAGATCAGCCAGGCGTGGCGCGGTCAGGTACCGTCCCTGCAGAAAATGCTGCTCCAGCTCGGCTATTTGGGAGCTGGTGAATGTGGTGCGAGTGCGACGTGGTCGTCGCATAACCAGCGAGTCAGACAGCTCATCTGTTTTCGGAATGAGTTGAATTTACAGTTAAATGTGGCTGTTAAATATCTGTGTACATATGTTATAAAGTGCGCATGCATATATGTATATATATATACCTATGTAGGAAAATTAAAACATTTCCTATGAAAATTATATTTCTAACTATCGAATTTTCACTCATTTTCCGCCCGTAAATGAATCTAGCAAAAAACTAAATTAAATTGATCTCATAAATACAACAAATTTCATGTAAGAGTAATCCACTTATGTTACACTTTTAGGCGTGGAATTTCAATGAAACCGCATCAATTACCTCATTTATATTATTCAATTACATATCCGACATATTCATTAAGCTGACATCTACAGCGGAGGTGTAAACGTAGTTGTTCGCCCAAAGGAGCTTTCACTGTATTATATAGTACAATATTCAACTAGTTCTCGAATAGTTGGAGCTGCCCTAAGCACTGTTTATATTTACATACTATGCACACGTGTTCTGTACAGGTGTACATATGCATTGGAATACTTGCCTGGTTTGGGCATTTGGTTCGGCAGATAGGGACGTATGTAGTTGTAGTTTATGGCGCCCGTGCGTTCATCAAACAGCTTGGATGATGGGCAAAAAGAAATGTCGTTGTTGTTGTTGTTGGTTTGGTTTTGTTGCTTTATGAACTTACTAAATCGAAGGGATTGCGAAACTGTGGCGGCAACTGCAGCTGTGGATGCTGCGAGTGCGTGTGTGAGTGCGGGTGTGAGTGCGGATGGGGATGCGGCAGCGGGTGATGGTAAAAGTTTTGATCCGGCGGCTGTTGCGCCATTTTCCACAAGTAGCTCCACCCAGCACTCGAAAGGTTGTGTTTGTTCGGCGCTTTTCACTTTGGATAAGAAATTAACTTTTAATTTGTATAAGAATTGTAACCGGTTACATTTAAAAGTCGCTAATTTATTATTTCCACATTTTTCTTTCATTTACATCGCATCCGCTAAGCGCCGTTATTCGCTGATAAAGAACAACAATTCAAAACAGAATACGCGAAATGATGCCACATCGTTTGAAAACTGTGTGAAATGTGACGATCTGGCAGCATCATTCACGCAGTTCGTTTGTATACCGCCACCAGATGGCGCTTCGAAACTTTTAGTGCTGCCAGTGACTGTTGGCAGGTGGCGCTTGCTTATACAAGAAAATGGCGCAAATATTTAAATATAATATAACATAACACTGCAAATCATTGAACAAGCTTACATTTATTAAGCACAAATGTGCTTGTAATCTGAATAGTTATTTCATTTCATTTCGGTTCTGTTTAGCAAACAGATATGAAATCCTGCCGGTGTTATACATTTTGAATATATGTGTTAGCATTTCGAATTATATTTGATATGAAAATTCTTTTTGCATATTTATTAAGTTTCTAAGGTAGTTCTAAGCGATAAAATTGTCAATTTGAATTTATGGAGAAGTGTGAAATTTACTAATGCCGTTTGCCGAATATGTAACCGATCATTCTTGTGTTGACTTTAGATGGGAAAGCTGTTTGTTGTTGTAGTTGTGCCAACTGGCAGCCAAAGTCAATTCACAGTTCAGCCAGGCAGCCAGCCAAAAGCAAACAAAACGGGCCGCATACCAAGGGACGACACACACACACACACAGGGACCCGGACACACACATAAACAGACTGGGCCACAAATTCACACGCAGTGTGTGACAAAGGACTATGGCAAAACCCCCTCCTGCCGAAGCGAGACACCCGAAAGAGTCACTGACAGAAACAGGATTCGGGTAATAAATTACAAATTTTGACATTTTCTGTTTCGGATCCGCTTGAGCTCGTGAACGTGAACACAGCCAGCCGTTCCAGTCGCATTCCCAGCTCCATATGTACACTCTATGTACATACATATACATATGCATGTATATATGTATATGTATGTATGTGTGTAAGTATGTGTATATGTGTGAAAATCATGTCCAGGCGATGCAAGTTGAGTGCAGTGCACAAAGGACCTGAACCAGCATCCAAAAGGGGCATCGCTGATGAGCCAACTGCTGGAGTGCAACTGCAACAGTTCTAGGACAAGCCACGAATGCGACCACTTCCCCGGGGCGGCTGTCGGTGCTGTCGGTGCTGTCGGTGCCGAGCGGGAAACAGCGGGGCACACACGCAGCGATCTGTGGAAATGAATAGAAGCGCCCCATGCGGTCCACAGATAGTTAACTTGAAATTTATTATTTTACACAATTTACAATTATCTGATTCAAATGTGCACTCTGCACTGTGCGCCCAGCATAGGATGCAGTTTCATCTGCTCTCTGCCACAGGCTCCGATGCCAACAGCGACTCCCGACTGCTGACTCCGACTCTGACTCTGACTCTGACTCTGACTCTAAATCGGATTCAGAGTCCGATTCCGCCTTTGTCCTCGCCCTTGCCACATCCGCCGCAGTTCGACAGAAGAAGTCACAGTCAAGTTTTAAGGTCTGATTTTATTTTGCTGGATATTATCCTGCATAGTGTGTGTCTCAACTTTTCCAAGACCCTAGCAACATTTTGTTAGAGTGAACTGAAATCAGACAAACTTCCAGTTACAACATTATTATGTTCATTATATAATCGGCATTTTATCTCTCACGGAAACCTGGACAGTTGAGCATGTTACTGATAGAGTAGATAGTGCTTAAATTATATGTCTAAAACTAACTATTAGCTAGTTGCCTTTTAGCAGATACTAAGCATGTGTGCATGACCCAGAATATAACTTCATAATGATTCCGCTAAGGTTTCGCCTTAAATCATTGGAATCATGGATAACATTTTCAACAGTTTCCGCGCGTTTCAATATTTCACCCCCTTTTTGCTGTTTTCACGCACGCGCCCCTGCTCATAGGGCTGCTCATTGCCAGTGCGAAAGAGATGGCCTGCATTTGGTGGCCATGCAGGATCGCGACCTGGCATTGGCATTTCCACAGGCGAAAGGTCTTTCCAGCAGACGGCGTTGTTGTTGTTGTTGCTGCCGCTGCCGCTGTCGCTGCCGGCATGTCGCGTCCTTTGTTCCTTGCGCCATGTCATAAATCATCATATATACGTGTACGTGCGTGTGTGTGTGTGTGTGTGTGCGTGCACCACCTTTCCACGAACTTCTAAACGTTTTTCAGGGGCAAATGGCGTCACAAATTTAAATTTGGCGTCAGTTTTGGCCAGTTGCTCGCGCGTCGCGACTCTTCGAGGCGTTTTCAGCGCGTTTTCATATTTGTAACGGACATTCGCCTATCGCTGCTGCCGCCTCAGTCTCTGTCGCCGTCGCCGTCGCAGTCACTTGTGGGCAGCAGTCGAGCAAAACAATTCAATTTATGGCGAAGAGTGCAGACAAAGTTAAAGTCATTGATAAGTGAGCTGCCAGGCAACAACAACTTAACTACACACAAACAAACGCGAGTACGCACACAAATACAAATACGAACAAAGTACAGAGTAAAAGTAAATATGTAAAAGCAAAGCAGAGATATGATCGTGAACTCTCGCAGCGTTTTGGTGTGTTCTTTGAGCAGAGATAACAATAACAAGCGATCGGTCAACGTCAGCGCTGACTTTGACGTCAACGCCAACGGTGACGCCGACGTCGCTGCGCTCAGCGTCTTCACATTTGAGCGCCGCTCAGAGCTCAGAGTCGAAGACGTTTCAGTCGCGCGGCGAACAACGTGAAGCAAACAACTGTTACACAAGCAGCATTCGGCCATCAATAATCAGCAAGCAGTAAACAGCACGCAACAAGCAGCGCATTGAACCCGAGCTAATCGAATCATTTGGCAAATTATCAGCAGCCGGAATGAAGAGCCGCTGCCCGCGCCCCCTTCAGCTATATTTGTGGCTGCTGTGCATCTCGCTGGCTGCCGCTAGTGCGCCTGTTATCAGCCATATTAGCAAGGACGTGGTGGCCAGTGTGGGCGACAGCGTTGAGTTCAACTGCACCGTGGAGCATGTGGGTCAACTGACCGTCAGCTGGGCCAAAACGGAACCCAACTCGGCCGTGGTGCTCAGCATGCGCAATATGCTCAGCCTGCCGGATCAACGCTACAATATCAGCGTGCAGGAGAATACCAGCCAGGATAGTGCCGTCTATAGCTTTCGCATACGCCAGATCGAGGCCAGCGATATGGGCCCGTACGAGTGCCAGGTGATCGTCTCTGCTTCCGGCAAGGTGACCAAGAAGCTAAATTTGCTGATCAAGACGCCGCCTGTAATCTCTGAGTCGACGCCAAAGAGCACCCTGGTGACAGAGGGGCAGAATCTGGAAGTCTCATGCCACGCCAATGGCTTTCCCACGCCCACCATATCCTGGGCACGTGAACAGAACGCCATCATGCCCGCTGGTGGCCACGTGCTGAACGAGCCCACGCTGAGAATTAAGACGGTGCATCGTCTGGATCGCGGCGGCTACTACTGCATTGCCCAGAACGGCGAGGGACAGCCGGATAAGCGTTTGATCCGTGTGGAAGTCGAGTTCCGGCCACAGATAGCCGTGCAGCGACCCAAGGTGGCACAGATGTTGTCCCATTCGGCGGATCTGGAGTGCAGCGTTCAGGGCTATCCGGCGCCAACTGTTGTATGGTTCAGGAACGGCGTGCAGCTACAGTCCAGCCGCCACTACGAGATCTCCAACACGGCCTCCTCCTCGGAGACGACCACCTCGGTGCTGCGCATTGACAGCGTATCGGAGCAGGACTTGGGTGATTACTACTGCAATGCCACCAACAAGTTGGGCCATGCCGATGCTCGGCTGCATCTGTTCCAGCCGGTCATACCCGTGCCCTCCGCATCGTAGTCGGGCAGTGCGCGCCGCGTACAGAGTTTCCCACGCTTGAAAAAAGACTTGAATTCCTAATTTAATATTTTCGGCAATTGTTTGGTATTATGCTCTTTATATATACGTATATGTCTGGCCGCGGCTTGCAGTCGGATGCGGTCTGTAGTTCTTATTATTAATGATTCATTCAATTAACTCTGATTCCGATTCACTTGAAACGTTTGAATGTTTGTGCCTTACGAACTCGCTTCCCATGCGTGGGTCGCGTTTTCTATATAAATAAACAAATACATACATCACAAATACACACACACACACACATATATGTACTACTTAGGGGACGATGTTTCCTACACGATTCAAGATAATTTGTACTGCTATAGGTTTTTTTTAATATACCACCATTGAGAAATGTTTGTACAGTCGTCTTAAAGATAAGCGGAATCTTTTATCTATGTGGAAAAAAGGTGAAATAAAAGTTCTTATCAGGTAATATGTGCACAATTATGCGGCTATTCTTTCTAAAGACTACAATCTTATGTATATATGCAGCTATCGCCATGTTGTTTTCCTTTTAGCCCTTTCAAAACTGTCAGAATCATAAAAAGTTATATCTGACAAACCTGTCCATATATGTTTCTCCTAATAATTCACATTGGTTCTTAATCATTTGAAGAGCTTAAAATGTTTATTTCTCAATCTGCATTATTTCAATTTTCGGATTATTTGTTTTCCAAGTCTACTTACGAGATAATTCCAATCTAGTCTATTGTGTCCCACAATCTCAAAAACAACTTATATACATTTAAAAAGTTCAGGATGTGCCTTCAGAAATATAAACAAGGTTTAGTTCAAGTATCGAACTGATACTTTCCGAATGGCTGGTCATTTGAAAGTACTTGCTCATATGGTACAAATTAATTTCCATAAGGGTGAAAACTTAAGCCATTTGCTTTAATCAAAGTTTCCCAACTGAAAAGGTAACAACATGTGGGAGAGTTGGCATTTATGTTAAGCTAAACGTTGCTGTTCAAACTGCCACAGCATATAACTCTTCAATCATGGTTAAAAATGGACTCCAGTTCACCTCTTGACATCCCCCACACACACACGCTTACAGAGGCAAGTAAGTTGTTCATTGTAAAAATGCGAGGCATTTGTAAAGCGAGCCCCAAAGAGCCGTCGCTCTGTTGCTGGCACTTTTG